CCCGCGAGCTCGTCTCTGGCGCGGCAAGCGAGGACCTGGTCGCCCGCGCGCGGCTCGCCTTCGAGGCACTTCCTAGCGAGCTTCCTAGCGAGCTTCCTAGCGAGCTTCCTAGCCGCTTCCCAGACGCCTCCCCCTCTGTAGACACTCCCTAGCCGCCTCGCCTTCCTTCGAGGCGCCGGTGCGGGGCGGAGAGGCACGCGCCGCCAACACGCCCACACCGTGTCGACAGGCGCGGTCGGTGCGGCGGCACTCTTCGCGCGCCTCGGGTATCGGCCAGCAGCCCGCCGGCACCGCCACGGACGGCGACACCGGCTGGCAGGGGGGCGGCGTAGCCGGGATGATGAGGGCGCGCCACGAGGCCGAGTCCAAGGCGGCCGACGCCGCGCTGGTGGCGAGGCTCGCGACGGCGACGACGGGGGACGGCGACCGCATCCCCCGCGCCCGCGAGGTCGGCCAGAGCGCAGGCTTGTCCTCTCGGCCGGGGCGGCACAACGGCGCGGGCAGCAGCCAGACGGAGCCGGTGGAGGGGTGCGTGGAGGGGCTGGTGCTGCTGGTGGAGCTGCTCGAGGCCGCGCGAGAGTCGCGAGCGGAAGCTTCCCTGCGCCTTCCCTGCACCTTCTCGGAGCCGTCCTGTAGGCGCGCGACCTTTCGCCGGCGGACGGGCCCCTCGGCGCGTGCAACCCGTTCGCGGAGGTCAAGCTCGGTCCGCACGCTGTCCGCTCCGACACGCTGTACGACACGACGGAGCCGCAGTGGGGCCGCGCTTGGGAGCTGTGGGGCGGCGCGAGCAGCCGCAGCTGCTCGCACTTATTCGGCGGCTTCCACGCCGCGGCGGCCGTCCTCACCGTCCGCGTCTGCTCGGAGCGGCGCAACGGCGGCGAGGACGCGCTCGGCGTCGCCGAGGTGGACACGAGCCGTCTGCTGCTCGGCGGCGTGCGCGACTTGTGGCTGCCGCTGACGGGAGTCGCCAACGGCGCGGTCCGCGTGCGCATCGCGCCGTACTCGGCGTCGATCGCGCCCCTCGGGCCGCTGCCGCCCGGCATGACGGCGGATCTGCTCCTCGACGACGGCTCGCGCCGCGCCGTGCGCTCGGAGAGCGTCGACAAGGAGCGAGACACGCCGGGCGCGGCCAACGGGCGCGCGATGCCGCAGCGGGTGTTCCAGAGCCTCGCGAGCGGACGCGGCGAGGACGGCGAGAGGCCGAGCAAGACGGCGCGCGAGCGGGCGATGACCTCGATGCCAGCGCGGCAGATGGCCGGCGAGGACCACGTGCTGACCTTGCGCGGCTCCACGGTGCACAATGCGAGGACGCTGGGGCTAGGGACGCAGCCCGACCCTCGACTGTAATCAATGTACTACCCGTACGTACTCTCTTTTTATTGTGTGTCTTGTCTCTTCAACCCTTTATCGTCTTAATTTCAATGGTACTCATGTTGAGAAGAGCGAAACTCTCGCGCAAGATCTCGCTCTGTCCTCTGACCCACCTCCGCTCTATCACACTATCTCGCGTGTGTGTGATGTGTGAGAAGCGCGGTGTGAGAGTCAGAGTAGTGTGCGTGTGCGGACAGCGGAGTCGTCTCGCGCGACACATATTTTGAAAAGAGAGGGAGAAAAAAGGTCACACGGAGCGGTCTGGAGCTGCGCCGGAGGGGTCCATCCTGGCATCGGGCAGCTCGCAAGAGGGGAGTCGCTCCGCATCGTCCAAATCACTCAGCTCTTCGAGCAAGCTTGCGGTGTCGCGGCGGTACGTCCGGCTTCTCTGCCAGTCACGCAGCCGCGAGTAGAGGCAGAGGGCCAACAGGGCGGCGGCCGCAGCGCCAAGCATCACGCCGGCGGACGGGCCCTGCTGCAGCGCCGCCTCGACCGCCTCGGCCGCCTCGACAACGTCGGTGACCTCCTGCTCCTCGTCGTCGCCGCGGGGCCAGCCCGGCCGCTCCTCCGCCTCAGGTCCGTGGCTGCGCCCAGGCCTGCTGGAGGAGGAGGGTCTGATGCCCTCGGAGACGTGCTCGGCTCGGAGACGTGCACGGCTCGGCGGCCGTGGCGGCGGCGGCGGCGGCGGCAATGGCACAAGCAGGGACTGAGGCGACGGCAGCTGCGCGAGGAAGAGTGCCTCGAGGCGGCTTGCCTGCGCCGCGACGAGGCCGAGCAATCGAGCCTGCACCCCGAGCATCTTTCGCTCCTTCCCCGTGACTGCTCCGTCCTCCATGGCGATCCGAAAAAGCTCGAGGTAGTCCCGCTCTCGCGACGTATGTGCTTGAAGCGGCGGCAGCGGCGGCGGCGGCGGCGGCGAGGGCCGAGGCGGTGGCGGCGGTGGCGGCGGCGTGCGGCGACCGGACGTTTGCAGAGGCAGAAACCTATCCTGCAGGCTGCCGGCCGGAGAGCGAAACTCGTCACAGGCCTTGCAGGTGCGGCACTTGCACCAGGCGCAGTGATGTCCTTCGCTCTTGCACCAGGGCTCGCATGTGCTGTACGGAACATCGTTGGCGTGGCCCGAGGAGCAGCTCCTCTCGCCGCGCGCCATCGCCAGTAGCGGAAAAAGAATTTTTGCGATCGCACCCTCCCTCGTTTTGTGCCCATCCCTCCCTTGGGTTGTCCGTTTTCTTTCTTTCTTTCTTTTCGTTTTGTGCCGTCCTCCCATCCCTCCCTTGGGTTGTCTGAGTTCTTTCTTTCTTTTACCCCTCGTTTTGTTTGTCCGTTTTATTTATTCTTTATTGATGGATGATGCTGGTCGCCTTGTTTTTTATTTCTTTCTTTCTTTCTTTGATGCTGGTTGCCTCGTTCGCTATCGTTGCGTATGGGTGGACGCGCACGCGGGATGACAGGAGATGCCACGGCACGACGCTGCACGTGCACGCTGGAGCGACTCTCTCTCTTTCCTTGCGTGCCTTATTTACACGATTACTCAAAACGAGTGTTGAGAACGGTCTGGACAAGACACCCGCCGTCCCCAACCGCGGTCAAATCGCGCCCGAGCAATCATAGGGAGGAGAGGAGAGAGCAGCACCGCAGCAGCCGCACAGGAGGCGTAAGACTGAGAGGAAGCTCTCGACGAAAGATCGACGAATCCAGTCAGCTTGGCGTCTTACACTCTTCGGCGTAACATCTCGGGGATTGCCGCCCTCAACAGCAATCCGGACTTGGTCTTGACTCACAACACGGTAAAGTAGAGTCCCTCAGCCAAACATGCGGCGCTTCACTTCGGCCAGCATCATTGCACGCTGCAACGGCGCGCCTGCAGACAAGTCGGGGCCACGCATCAGCGTGCTGCGCGGCGCTGCGGCTGGGAGAGGGATGGCGGCGTCGCGCGCGCCGCCCAGCGCGTCGCTGTTCTCCTGCGCCCTGCGCAGCAAGTACGGCATCACCTCGTCGAGCGGGCCGTACGGCACGTACTTGTAGGCCTTCAGCCCGGCGCCCCCCTTCGATCATCACCACACACCGCGTTACAGAGAGCCACTTTGGGCGTGCGAGAGCAGTGGCGGCACACCAGCGTGAAGGTGAGGTGGTCCGACATGCCAAGGAGCTGGCCAAACCTGCGGCAGTGCGAGGGGCTGCGCGAGAGCGCTTCGTGCAGAGAGTCTCGATAGCACCGCACCCGACTTTGTCGGACGTGACCTTGGACTCGCCCGAGGACAAGAGGCCGACCGCCTGACGGTGCCACCGCAGCTGGTGCTGCGCGCGCCGGGGGTGTGCGGAGAGGGCGGTGGCCGCTCGGCACCATTCGCACGCTGTCCTCGTTGTGCGACGCAAAGAAGGGAGACGTCTTCTCCGGCACCGGGCTCCGGACGAGCATCTCGGTCATGCACTCCGCGTAGGATGCGTGCGAAGCCTACGAGGCGGGGCGTGGGTGGGCGCGGGAGGCTGCGGGGTGCAGCCGGGGGACCGGGGAGCGCCTCGAGGTTGGGCTGGATCGGGTCGGCGAAGCCGAGCCGGGCGGCGCGCTCCCGCTCGTAGACCATGTAAGCCCCGCGCACCAGCTTGCCGCCTGCCAGGGGTCGGTGGGTTGTGCCGCATCGCGCATCGCGGCGGCGAGGAGTGCGGTCACCGAAGTGGATGTCCTCGCGCTTGCAACGCTCGAGGTCCTCCCTCAGCTTGCCGGGCGTGCGCCGCAGGTAGGCCTGCGAGACACGGAATTCGGTGCAACGCCCCGCGGCAAGGGGGGGCGGGCTCCGCACCTGGTACGTGTTGTACACCGCCGGGTAGGTCTTGTTGTACTTGAGCTGCATCGTCAGGACGGCCTGGTCAATAGCTGGCTGCATGTGGAAGTGCTCGGCGTCGATCATGAGACGGACTCCGAGCTCCGCCGCGTACGCGCAGATGTTGTCGCACCGGCTGAGCATGTTCTTCATCGCGACCAGCTCGTCCGGAGAGAGCGCGGTGCTCTTGACTGGCCCCGCCTTCTTGCACTTTGACACCATCTTTGGCACCTCCTCGATCGGGATCATGAGCGACCACTCGATGGGGTCGATCTCGCCGCTCTTATTCGTGTCGTACTTATCAAAGTACTTGCCCGCCTGCTCTGCAGTCACGCCATCGAACGCCTCGAGCCACCCCGCGGTGAACTCCTCCTTGCTGAGGCCGCCGTTGCCGTCCTTGTCGAGGGAGGTGAAGAAGCCTGTGCACGGGCGTGGCGTGTGCTGAGATGTGGCGCACCGGACCAAACGCCGCCCGCGGCAAGTCGCCTTGAATCGCAGAGAGGCTGTCCGAGATGCGCTCGAGCAGTTTGGGGTCGCCGAGTGCCGTCACCTTGATGGCAGCGAACCCGTCCGGCGAGGTGTCGGCGACAGCCTTCACGCCGGTGAGGAAGTGCTGCATGTTGGCGTCGCACTCATCCTCCCCGGCGTACGGATACACGCGCGCCGGCTGATTGGCGTTGCCAGCAGTCAAGGGATTGTCTCCCATGTCGGCCTCGGCTGCGTAGTCGAGAATGCCGCCCACACCCTGCGCCTTGAGCGCCTGCATTACCGGCTTGATGCCCTCGGCCGACTCGCCCGCGACAAAATGGGCAAAGAAGGTCTTCCGCACGACGGTGTCGGTGAAAGTCTTCCCAAAGACCTTTGTCGAGAGGCCAAGCAGCATCTCCGCGTTCATAACAAAGGGCCTGATGGTGCATGCCGTCAGCACGACAGCGCCTCGCAGCAGCTCTGCAGTTGAGGTCCCAGAAAAGGCAGTCCGCGGATCAGTGAAGTCGAGCGGAGCGATGGCAGTCGCTGTGGACAGCCGACGCGACGAGCGGGCGAGCAGCCGCGCAGGAGCCAGGCGTGAACGCATGGGGCGCGGGCGGTGGGAAGCGGCAAGGCGACGACCGAAGTGGACGGCTTGGTCGGCCGCTCGCGGTCAATTCTCATGAGCCGATCGCCGCTTCCTCCTGCGTGAGGTCGCCGTTGGGCTCGGAGCGGTAAAGCGAGAACGCCTTGCGACGTCACCATTGGCCCCTTGTTTAGGTTCGTTGTGTGTCATGTCCGCGACTTAGCGCCTACAGTATATGCTGTAGCGCCTACGAGCTGGCAAAGGCGCTCCGGGTGTAGAGTGTATGTGTCGAGGTCTGTGAGCTCTAGATGGGCACGTCTGTGAGCTCTAGTCGGGGCCCTGTAATTGGCAAACGGTGCGGGAACACGCGGTGTCAATTTGTTTTTTACGGAAGGGGCAAAAAGAGTTGTTTGGTATTGGTATTCCTTACGGTATTGCTAAAAATCCAGAGACGGAAGGGGCGTGTCCGAGATTCACAAACGCGCTGCGGAGTGTAGAAGAATTCTTAAGATACAAGCCTCTCTCACAGCACACTGGCACGACAAGGGCGCAGACTGGCGCGGACTGGCACACACACAGGCTCAGTGTAGAAGAAACACCTCGCATGGGGCATGGCGCACCTATCTGATAGGTCCTAGCGTTTGACTGTTGGTCCCTGGATACATGCGCACTTCCTGGTCATGGCAACGACCTCAGCGAGGGGATGGCACTTGCTGGTGCGTTGGGCTGTGCCCTTCTCCTGTTCGCGCCAGCCTGAACAGTGACCAAGCTGCAGGTCTGCAGGTCACGAGAAGGGCCGGGCGGAGGTTTGCTGCCACAGCACCGGCGATTAGTTGCGTCGCGCCTGCCATGCGTCAAATGTCCCATCGTTGAACGCTCTCATGCCGAAGTCACCACTTCCATCACCAAACGGCGCCCGCCAGTCCCTAACGTCGTCATCGTTCGTCTTCGCACTGCTCTACTGCTGCTTGCGCATGGAGTCTTTCTGCCTCACGTACGCCGCCACGCGCTTCGTTTTCCCGGGTGTCACATCAACTCCACCCTTCTGCTCGAGGCACTCGTCGTTGTCAAAGGCGTCCTTGAGGCTGTCGAGCCAGCCAAGTGTCGGAGTTGTGGCTCGAGGCTGCGCCAATGGCGCAGCGAGATGGTGCGGCAAGCGAGGTGAGCAGCAAAAAATATCGAGCCCCCGAAACCCAAAGCGCCGACCAACCCTCGGAGAGTATTCTGTATTACTAGCTCCGAGTAGAGGGGGCGTCATGCAGCTAGGGGAAACCCAAAGCGCAGGAACCAACCCTCGGAGACCCGTGTTATGGGCCCTGCGACCCGCGGACCCCCCAGGGCTAGGGCTCTCTAGCCCGCAACCCGATCCCAATCGTCTGGCCAACCGGGTGCGCTTCTTAGCTCCCCGGTCCGGGGCGTGCGGCTGATAACTGCACTCCAAGTGCTCCAAGTGCTTCGCGTGGACGTGCACTAAAGCGAGGCAGGTTGAAGTTGTTGCGCTTGACAAAGATCGCGTCTGCAGATTGCGTCGCGGTAGATTTGAGGAAACCGCGATGCACCTTGGCCGATGTAGGTCGACGTTGTGCAGGTATCATGTGGCATGTGGGGGGAGTTCAGTCTGCTCTATTTATTTAGGCCGCCCACAAACAAAACGTGCGCACCAAGATTTTTTCTCAACCCCGCCCCGCGCGACTACACCGCGTTTCCGCACGGGCACCCGCCCAAAGGTCACCTCCATCTCACGCTATGACGGGCGCCGACGTCGGGTTTGCCGCGTAGAGCCCACCGAGGTGCTCATGATTGGCCGCGATGAAGTCCGAGAGGCTCGCTCGCACGATGTCAGCGGCCCTCTCCGTCAGCTCGAGCGTGGCGGTGCCCTCTCCGGCCCCCGATGTCAGCTCTGCCGCCTCCGCGGCGGTCCGCAGGCTGTACGCCAGCGCCGCGCGAAACTCGCCGAAGCGGTCGTGGTAGAGGGCCTGCACGCTGGTCTCCCTCAAAAAGGTGGGCACATCGTCCACGCGGCCCTCGCGATGCTTGGAGCCGAGGCGGTTGATCATCTCCACGGGCAGGCCAATCAGCCGCGCCCAGTTGCCCTCGTCGGCGGGCGAGGGCCCCAGATAGACGAGCGACGAGACCTGGCCGAGGCAGTCGACGCGGCAGGAGCAGAAGGCCGCGTCCCCGGTGGTGATCTCGGTCGGTGCCCCCATCGAGCCCGGCGTGGCCTTCACGGCAGACGCGCAGTAGTAGTGCAACCCGCCGGGAAGGTCGACCGCCACCGCCACCGGCGCCTCGGGTTTTGGCGGCTCGTCCGTCTGAGTGCTGGGGCTCGTCCACGGGTCGAGAACCGGCAGGAGCGCGTGCGCCAGCTGCGCGCCATTCTCTCGGTCCGAGCGGCTGACGGCCTGCTCCCCCTTGAGACGGTATCGTCGCGCCACCCTCGCGAGCGGGCCGGCGGCAAAGATGGCGGCGTCGTTGGTGCGGAACTGGGCGTCGACTATCAGGCCGCCATTGTACACGATGGAGCTGTCGCTGAATGCTTGGAACAGCGGCTGGTCCACCCGCCGCTCGCCGCAGCAGAGGAGCGTGCCGCAAGGCACTGTCCTCTCCTCGGGCTCGGAGGTGGGGGAGGAGGACGCGAGCTGCAAGGACGACAGGTGGTCGGCTCCCTCACCCGCGTCGCCGCCGGCGCCGACGAGAGTCCAGCCTCGTAGGGTCGTGACACCGAGTCGTTCGAGCGCCTCCTCCACCCTCCTCGCCACCTCGGGGGCGCCAAAAGGCGCTCCCGACTGCTCCTGGGATGCGCCGGCAGGAGGCACGACCAGAGTGAGGTCGCTCGGCGCCACGTTGAGCGTCAGCAAGGCGTTGACGGCGGCAAAGGCGTCGAGCGACCCACCATAGATGGCATAGGGCGCCGCGTCCCGTCCCGTCAGGCGCCGCTCCTCGATGTACTCTAGCGCTGCGGCCGCTGCGCCCTCGTCTGAGAGCGAGAAGACACCACGCAAGCGCATCGCCTCGGGGCACAACTCGTGCAGCGACTGGTCGCCGAGCTCGGGAGCCATCACGACGACGTCATACTTGAGCGTCGTCCCATCAGCAAGGCCGAGCGTGCAACTTTCTCGGTCGATGTCCACCACGCGACCCTCCACGGCACGAACGCGCGCGCCCAAATTCAGGGCGGCGAGCTCCCTGGCAGTGTACGCGCACGTTCGCGAGAAGAAGGCGTCGGCGCAGGTCGCGAGGCTGGCTCCGGGCGAGAGGCGGGCTCCGCGAGGCGACTGCAGCCGCTGCTCGGCCTTTGGAGCGACAAGAAAGAGCGAGCTGAAGTGGAGGTACGGCACTGTCGCGAGCGACTCGAGCACGGAGAGGGCCGCATCCGACGAGCCCACGACGACCACCCGCTTGTTCACCACCATCTTGGGCTCCGACATGAGCTTGCGCGTCAGCAGGTAGAGCGCCCCTGGGGTCTCCGCCGCATCGGAGGCATCCGTCTCATGGACAACCTGCTGCGAGCGAGGTCCGACTTGCACAAACTGAGCGAGAGCGTCAGGAACGGGCACGCCCCTCCGGGTGCGGTAGTAGAGGCACGAGGCGCCTTGGAGCCTCATCGCCTCGCGCAGCACGAAGCGCGACGCCGCTGCGAAGATCGGATTGATCACGAAGGCGAGCAGCTCGATGCCTTGCCTCGCCCTGTGCTCGGCAAAGAGGATCAGGTCCTCGAGCTTGTAGAGCGATCGCATGGCGTCGACATCCAACGACCCCTCGAGCAGCGCGGCACCGACCACCTGCCCGCAGCTCTCCACAACCAGGGTGGACCGCCCCGGTGCACCCGAGGCTGCGGCTGCCGTGGCGGCGGCCACAATGTCATCGGCTCCGGCCAATCCCTCGGTGAGGGTGCCGAGCGCGGCAGCGTCGGAAGCGGCGCCGCGCCGCACTGCAACCGGCTCGAGCAGGGCCCCCCGGTGAAAGAGGTACAGGACATGATCAAAGGAGGAGCCCGGCCTTGCCTCGATTTGCGTGAAAGTGGAGAGCAGAGGGATCTCCGCGGCCGCGTGCGGGACGGTCAGCAGGACGCTGGTCTTCTCTGGGAAGGCAGCAAACACAGCGTGGAGAAAGTCGCGAGAGCGCGACTCGAACGTCTCGTCGATGCAAAAGAAGGACACCGCCACAGCGTCGCAAGTGTACGTCACCTTTGCCTGCGCCGCCTCCGCCTCCGCTGCCGCCGCCATTGAGGCCTTGGCTGCCTTGTCGGCCGCTGCCTGTCGGACGGCGGCCTCTGCGGCGCACTCTGCGGCGGCCGGGTCGACAGTCGCCTCCCCGTCCGCCTCTGCTGCCCCCGCCTCCTCTGACGCGCCATCCGCTGCCGCCGCTGCCGCCGCCGCCGCCGCCGCCGCCGCTGCCGCCGCCTCCGCTGCCGCCGCCGCCGCCGCAAGTGCGGCGGCTGCCGACGCTGCAGCCGTATCTGCGCGAGCCAGCGCGGCGTCCGCGGCCGCCAGTAGGTCCGGGTCGGCAGTGACGAGGCCGTCGAAGGCGTCGAGGTCGAAGGCCGCCTGCAGCTCTCCGATGTCAACCTCCGCGTTGAGCGCCATCAGGCCAATCGCTCGCTCGTCGACCTCAGCCACCAGCGCTTTGTGGCTCTCGTCCTGCGACTCAATCAGCTGCGCGATAAAGAACTCGCCGTACCGCTCGGCCAGCACCTCGGACTCCGACTCAAATATGGCTGCCAGGTCGTCATAGTCCTCGACGCGTGCCGGCCTCAGCTTGAGGTTGGCAAGGAAGAGAGCGCGTGGACACGCCAGGACGTCGAAGGGCGTCGATGCCTCGGCTGACGCAGCGTGACAGAC